ACATGCCAAGTAACCCAAGAGTGTCTCCAGTCTTACTACGTCTCGAGGGTGGCTGTAGCAAAACAGAGACCTAGCAAATTTCAACAAATTAATAGTCATCGAGATGTATTTGGTACACCATAAATCGGAAGTGACTGCTGCCCTTGGCCTAATATTAACTCATCCACCAAATTGTAGCACAGCGAGCAATTATACATTCTAATACAATTCATAACAATGCAGTATAGCCAACACCAAAGCCACCCCTAATAAATCGGCCTTGGCTCATCCCATTTCCTAGCCTCGACTCTATCTTTAGAATCAGGCGTCTCCTCCTTCAGCTCCGGCACCAACGAAACCCTCCCACTGCGCCGTCTCCTCGCCCCCTCACCCTTGGTAGGGCCAATCCACTCCCAAGCACGACCTACTTCCCCGCTTCGGCTTTCCCTCTGGCTTATGCGGACATTGCTGTTCTGCTCTACGACAGCCCTTACCCTCTGCCATATCCTGTCTCGCTCGGAGAGAGTGTGAATAGATCGCAGGACATCATCCCTCAGGTTTGGCAGGAAGAGCCAGGGATCATCAAGATCCTCTTCTCCAAGCTCCCTCTGGTCCGCGAGTCGCTGTAAGACCAAGTCTACGAGGGCTGGAACCTGTGCAGATGTTGCAACGTGACGACGGTACCGTGAACGTGCGTTCAAGCTTCCGAGGATCAGCAAGATTATAAATCCAATTGCGAGTCGATATCTTGCCAATGCGAGCCAGATTGACCGCTTGATGGCGCAGGTGAGCGGAAGGCGAGCGAGAGAGGTTGACGATAGCTTTCTGACTGGAAGATTGGAGGCACCGGGCGGTCTGTGGGATTAATCACGGATCTGATTAGTCTGTGTCAGAAGAAGGATTTGTTGACCAGATATGAGATAGCACCACAGCCATAGCTGAGATTTTATCTCATTGCGAAAAAGAAGAAGGAAAAAAAAACTGGTCTATACTCACTGAGTTGTCTCAACCTGAACTTCAACTTCTTCTCTCGTAGTGACTTTGCCGATGGCCTTCTCCCACAGGTCATCAAATTCCTCATCACTAAGTCTCTTGTTTCGTTTTTTGCTGACAACGTGTTTTAACTCTTCCTCTGCGATTGCAGGCGAATTTTCCTGTTGACCCGCTTCGTCCGCCAAGTCACCGCACTCATACTTGGCTCGGCGCTCTCTAAGCTCCTCAACCGCCTTGTCAGCTACGGCCTGAACTCGGCGTTCCTGCTCGCTATCGGGCTCACATGTTGGTGGAAGAGGGACCAGTCCGCCGAATGACAACGGGTGAGGTTTCTGAATGAATCCTTGGATACATCTCACATTGAAGCCCTCGTAGCAGTAGGCATTTGCAGGACATGGTTCGCATTGGGGTTCAACAAAAGGAAGTAGCGCATCGGGAACTACAATCTCTGGTGGCAGGAGTGGCTTAGCCTGTCTACCGAGGCCGCAGTATCCGACAGCAAGCTTCTCTTGTCGATACCAAGCTCCGTAAGCGCCGAAAAGAGCCATAAAAAGGACAAAGAGGGGTGTCAGTACGCTTGTTTGGCGTGCTGGTTTATGGCTCTTGCGCAAAATTGGAGCGACTTCACCCGAGCTTTGAGCTTCTTCCAATTCGAGCTGCTCTTCAGCAGTAAACTCCTCGCCAGGCTCCAAAGCAAATTCAGGATTTTTTTGCCGTAACTTGGGTGCTGAAATTTCTGATACTCTAGACTTTTTGCTTCGATCGGTGAAACCATCAGTTCTTCTCCTAGCAGATCGCACGCTCTTAGACATGTCCTCGCCCAAAGTGCGTCGACGGTTGCTTGGAGTTTTTACCGGCGGCGGGGAGCTTCCGCTTTGGAAAGGGTTGTCGTCGGTGAAAACAGATGCGTCATGTCCCCCGTCCTCTTCTACCTCTGGCGGCTGAAGATATTCGTTCGAGCGATCAGCATGAGTGGGATACTCCTCTTCCGACTCATCTTTTATTTGAGGAGTGACGGTCCTTCTGCTGCTTCGACGCGTCGACTTAGACGCAACGGATGCGGCGCCGTCATCTTCGTCAAAATGGGAAAGTTGCCGGCTAGCAGATCTTGAGCTGCGCTTGCGCGGACTGCGCAGAATATTGGATTCTGGTTCCTCGGACTCGGTCTTGATTCTGCTCGAGCTCTTCCTTGGCGACATCGACCTGCGCATAGACGAATGGCGCGAGCGCGTGTCGTGTTCATCCCAAACGTTGGAATCTTCTGCACTGCCTGCATTGACGAACCCTAAGCTGGATCGTTTCGCCTGAGCTCTCTGTGCCCGCAGCTTCGCAGCCTGTGATAAAACGTGATCATTGACCAAATCTACCAGTTGTCCCTTCTTCGCTGTCGATGGATAGTCCACATTGTGCGTGACGAGGATGGACCGCAAGCGCGGCACAGTCACGCTGCGCGGATCGAAGCCCTCTTGGAGGTAATCATCGGCATCAGCCATGGTGACGGACGGCGTTAGCGCACAGCGGTTGATGAAGTTACAAATCCCTGGCAAGGCAAGATGTGGATGCGCAATGGCAAGTCCAGGAACTTGGCTTCGCGGAGGAATGCAACGACACAAGGTGGTGAGACAAGGTCAACCGAGGAGGACCGCCGAGGAGGAGCGGTCGCGGCCAAGGTCGCAGGTTATCGGACCTGCAGAGAGAGGGAGGCATCCACTAGGTTGCCGAAAAGGACAACCTTGATACGGAAATCCGAAAATAAGGGTGTTGCCGGCACTATAGCCTGCAAAGCAGTATTGCAAGGATGACAGGTTTACAAAATCGTCGGCAAAGATGATATGATTGTTGTTGATCGAGTCCTAGCTCCACTGACGGAGCCACGGCTCCCGTTGTCTGTAGCAACTATGATACATACAAGCGGCGCATCCTCGGCCCGCCCAGTCGAGAGCGAGAGGCTGGCGTGGCCTTGCCACATGTGGCGCAAATGCCACCCTCAGCCCTGTCATAGTACCTCCGTACATTGTACGTACCGAATTGGGATGGAACTTGCATTGCAATGCATAACATCGTCCCACCTCAAGAGCTCTAGCTTCGTCCACCTTCAACCACCAATTGATGTTGTGTGGTGATTTACTACACGCAACAATGCCACAGGCTACAATGGCTGGGGCGCGGGGTCTTATAACAACCTCGAACTTCGTTTGTAGAAGTTGCTCTCGACCTGCCCGCAGCCAATGGCGTCGTTCATATTCAACTACAAAAGACGATATATACGATGTAGTTTGCGTTGGAGGTGGCCCAGCTGGCCTCAGTCTTCTCACAGCGCTTCGTACGCACCTTACTGTCTCGGTTGAATGATATCTTGAACTTAGTCTCTAACGAATATCCTAGGCGCAAGCCCCATCACTTCCAGGCTAAGGGTTGCCCTCGTCGAAGCTCAAGACCTAGCCAAGACCGCCGCCTTCTCTCTCCCGCCAACCCAGTTCTCAAATCGCTGCAGCTCAGTGACCCCATCGTCGGCCCAGTACCTCAATACCATTGGAGCATGGACACACATGAAGCGCGACCGCATCCAAGAATTCCACGAGATGCAAGTTTGGGATGGCGTCACAGGTGCCCGGATTGAATTCGACCCCCCCGCCAGCTCCGGCCCCAGCAAAACGATTGCGTACATGACGGAAAACCTGAACCTGACTTCAGGTCTTCTGAAGCGCCTCCAAGAACTAGGAAGCATCGATATTTTTGACAACTCGCGAGTAGAGAAAATCGACCTGGGCGAAGAGACTGAAGATATGGATCTTCGCGACTGGCCCGTCGTACACCTGTCAGGCGGTCAATCACTAGTTGCACGACTTCTCGTTGGCGCCGACGGGGCCAACAGTCCCGTACGGACGTTTGCAGGCATCGAGAGCCGTGGGTGGGATTACGGCAGACACGGGCTGGTGGCGACGCTGCAGCTGGAAGGAGACGGTTGGGGCGGACAGTTCAGCAAGATTGCCTACCAGAGGTTCTTGCCCACCGGCCCCGTGGCTATGCTCCCTCTACCGGGGAATTATTCAACCTTGGTGTGGTCAACGACGCCAGAGAACGCCGCGCTTTTGAAGAAGCTGTCTCCCAAGGACTTTATTGCCTTGGTAAACGCTGCATTCCGCCTTAGCCCCGTCGACCTGGGATACATGCACACACAAACCGAGGGCCAAGAAGACGAGTACAACTGGAGATTACAACACACGCCCGTGGATGCCGAGGCCATCCCGCAGACTGTTGTCGGCGTGCAAGAGGGGTCGATTGCTTCATTCCCCTTGAAGCTTCGCCACGCAGATACATATATAGGTGAACGAATTGCACTTGTCGGCGATGCCGCGCACACCGTCCACCCGCTGGCTGGACAGGGCCTCAACATGGGGCAAGGCGACGTGCAGAGCCTTGTCAAGGCCATAGAATATGCCGTTTCGCACGGACAAGATCTGGGGACACAATTGTCACTTGAGAGTTACAATAGCGAACGTTACGCTACTAACCACGTCCTGATGGGCGTGTGCGACAAGCTCCACAAGATTTACTCGGTTGAAAGCGGACCACTGGTTGGTCTACGATCTATCGGCTTGCAGGCTGTCAATATGCTGTCGCCGCTAAAGAATTTCTTCATGGGACAGGCGTCCGGTACCGGCGTCAAGGTCGTATAGACAACCAGACTCATCTCGCGGTGTAAAGTGAGGTGTGTAAAGTAGTATAGAAAGTAATTGTAACAATAAAACACATGCACATCTTCAATAGCGCCCCATGTATACGTATACAAGATGTACATCACTTGAGTGAGGCTGCGCAGGTGGTTAAAAAAAAAGAAGACTTCTATGGAGTATTTACACGTTCTCCCAGCCAGCTATGACTACAGACAAATAAAAAATCTTGATGGAATTTTTCTCCCTTCTTCCCAACATCTACCGATCGACCTCGCCTGAGTAGAATTGTCAATATGTGTTTAAATGTAGAGATTTGCGACTTTGGAAAGTGAAAGAAAAGGGAGGGGTCCATCAAAACTTACCAAACACCAAATCCATGGTACCAATTACAGCGACGGCATCAGCCAACAAGTGACCTTTGGAGACATGGTCGAACCCACCCAGATGAGCAAACCCAGGAGCACGAATGTGGCACCTATAGGGACGCTCGCTGCCGTCGCTGACAACATAAACACCCATTTCACCCTTGGGGGCCTCTATTACGGAATAGGTCTCGCCAGGGGGGACGGCGTAACCCTTAGTATACAGAAGGAAGTGATGAATGAGAGCCTCCATGTTCTCCTTCATGGCAGTACGGGGGGGAGGCGAGACCTTGTAATCTTCAACACGGACAGGGCCAGCAGGCATCTGGTTCAGACACTGGTGGATGATGCGCAGGGACTGGCGGAACTCCTCCATTCGGCAAAGGTAGCGGTCGTAGCAGTCGCCATTCTTGCCAACAGGAACATCGAATTCGACCTTGTCGTAGGCGTCGTAGGGTTGGCTCTTTCGGATATCCCAAGGGACGCCAGAGCCTCGAAGCATGACACCGGTGAAGGACAGGTTCAGGGCATCAGCGGCGGAAACAACACCAACGCCTCTCAATCGCTCAATCCAGATGCGGTTGTCGGTAAGCATTTCTTCCGTCTCGTCGATGCGGTCACCAAACTGGGTGGCCCATTGATAGATGTCATCCAGCAGACCAACGGGGATGTCCTGATGAACACCACCAGGGCGAACATATGCTGCGTGAAGACGTGCGCCGGAAACACGTTCGTAGAACTCCTGTAGTCGATAGTTAGCGTCATATAAGGTCTCAAAAGAAGACGTGGATATGATGAGGCGAAGATGCGTACCATGAGCTTCTCTCGCTCCTCGAAGCCCCACAGGAAAGGCGTGAGAGCACCAACATCCATTGCGTGAGACAGGACAGACATGAGATGATTCAGAACTCGGGTAATCTCTCCAAACAAGGTACGGATGTACTTGGCGCGGTCGGGAATCTCAATGTTGAGTAACTTCTCAACAGCGAGGGCAAAGCATTGCTCGTTGGTCATCATAGAAACGTAGTCGAGTCGGTCGAAGTAGGGCAGAGCCTGGAGATAAGACTTGTATTCGATCAACTTCTCAGTACCTCGGTGGAGGAGGCCAACGTGAGGGTCGGCACGGATGATTTCTTCGCCATTGAGCTCGAGGATTAGTCGAAGCACACCGTGGGCAGCGGGATGCTGTGGGCCGAAGTTGACAGTATAGTGCCTGACCTTGCGGTCCTCGACCGAGTTCTCGCGCGACTTTTGAACGGCGCCAGGGATACGCTGCGTTGTGCCGTAGGGATCGCTGGGATGGGCAAAATCGTCATCGACGGGGATGAGCCTAGTGCCCATGGGCTCGGGAGTAGCATATTTTCGAAAACGTGTCGTCGAGAAGGGCCGAGTTGCAAGTTGTGTGGCAGGACGCAGGCAGAGACGCTTGGCGCCGTGACCAGCGAGCCTCTGCAGTGAAGAAGCCATTGGTAACGAGATTAGAGGGGCCGGAAGCAAGAGGATAGACTGGAGATCCTCATGGAGAGCCTCTTGCTCGCAGTCAATGGCTTGTGGGCTGAGGAGAAATCGCCTTGGTGGTTATGGCCCGTTGTCCCGGATGTTGCACGTCAATATTCGGGGCAGCTTTGGCGATGGTGGATTCCGGGGTGGGTTCGGCTTAATATTTTTGCGTGCTAGTGAACCAATTAGATTGCAGCCATTACTCTCACTGCGGGAGAGAGGAAGCTTGCCAACGATCCACTTGAAGAGCACGGCCAGCTTGACTGTGGGACTCCACATAATTTGGACTTGCAAGGTTTCAGCTGACACCAGACCTTCGTCTTGCACACAACCCTGTCTTCAACACAAGAGTATCCGACTATCGACGGAGAGTCGTACCATTTATCTTATCTGTATTTAAAAAAAAACTTAAACTTTCTTCTCTAAAATAAAAGCCGAGTTTATCTTCGGGAGACCGTTGGTGGAAAAGGAGTATCATTGTAATGGTAGTAATCACACCGAGAGGCATCCAGATATTATAATGATAACGCAGAGACTTCTCAAAACCCAATGAATTGTGGAAAGCCAGTTTCAATTGGCTGATTTGATTCAGATGCGTCAACTGCCTGCAGGTAAGTGATGTCGAAGACTCCAATGCATAAAAAAGAGCCAGGCATAGCAGCCACACCATCTAGATAGATGGCAAAGAAACATTTCCTCCATCTTCGTTCGTTCGCCATAAAGCGTGGCTCTCCATAATCCGCACAAGAAGCAATCCCAGACTCAATCTATCCTAACCCCAAATCACTCCTCACAACCCCCAAAGCAACAATATCCCAAACAACGCCGCCCTTCTCAACCGCCCGCCTCCTGACGCCCTCCCTCACAAACCCGCTCTTTTCCATGACCCTCACACTCGCCGGATTCGACGAGAACGCCTGCCCATCAACCCTCAGCAAACCAGGCCACGTCTCAAACGCCCACCGCACCGCCGCGGCAATCGCCTCCGTACCATATCCCTTGCCCCAGGCCGACGGGGTCAGGAAATAACCCACTGCCCACGTCCTGTAAAAGACATCCTGTTGCGGGAGAAATCCAAAGCCCCCAATCATGACCGGCGCCGTCGTCAGGTTATCCGGCGTGTTGGGCTTGAGCATGATGGCCCCGTGTGTGGGATAGTGCGGATCCGCGCCGCTGCCGCAGGTTGCTATAAACTCGGAGGCGGCTTCGACGGTGTAGGGTGACGGGAACCTGTCGCTGAGGGTGGCGGCAACTTCATCATGATCCCCCACGGAGGCGAGCGCCGGAGCGTCTGACAGCTTGTAGCGGCGGAGGATGAGCCGTGGTGTTTCGAGGAGGACTGTCCCTGGCTCGGGGGAGGGGGGGTTAGGCGATGTGAGGATTCTGTTTGGCGGTGGCATTCCAGTTGAGTTTTTGCGGAATTTTCTCACCCTTGCTTTCTGAAGAAGGGTTGAGTATTGGTAACGGTTGTGGGTGTTGAGGCGTTGTTTTAAATATGTTGCGGTGAAGTGACTGGTCTGGACTCTGGATGAGGTGAGTCAACTCGCTAGTGTTGAAATCTCCGCTTACGGAATCCCTTCAACACCATCTCTCAAGTCTACGGGTGACGCTCACAAATACGGGTCATGGTTATTTTGCCTCTGAAGATGAGCTATTGCAAACTGTACTATTTAGTCGGTATACGCAGCAGGCCATCACCGGTCCAAGCCAAAGTCAACTCCGAAACGGCGGCAACCTAGCAGCTTACTCAATCCCGTCAGATCCAGACGTTCTGCAACAGCCACAATTCTCATCCTGCCCGTCCGTCCCTGCTGGATCAACATTCGCCTTGTCCAAAGCCCCGTCGCCAAAGTCAAACGGTACGCTTCCAAGAACTAACCTATCCCAAAGGGCATCACTCCGATCCAAAATACTCCTCCCGTCAAGATCAATGGGTATTTCGTCATGTTCCTCCGAGTGCACACCTCCCCCAATCAGCCCAACTGCTTCGGCTTGTCGAATTAGTTCCTTCACAGCTTCAACTTCGGCGTCCTCTCTTTGCCTGCCCACGTTCCCAAACAAAATTGTCCACGGAATTTCGTAGCATTGGGGTGGTACTTGGCACGGATCATCTGAAAAACCTTCTATGTGATTGAGGACTAATTCATCATACGAATCGAGCTTTCTGGCATCAGGCGGCAAGCCATTGCTGAGTGTCTCCGATGAATCATCATCTTCTGCAATGGTATCTTCCGCGTGCAATGTATTCAACCTTTTATCGCCGTCTGGAAGTCTCTTCTTATGGTTCTTTTCTTCCAAAAATTGACGTTTTTCTTGACAATCAGACGGCTTGCCCTTGCCCTTGCCCTTGCCGGGAGGCGTTGGGCGTGCTACTGGATGTGGCATTGTCGTTCAGTTACGTGACGCTCACTTTTGTAGCGCCTCCTCTGTAACGGGAATAATTAGTCATCGAAAATATCGGCATTCTTATCTTACTCGAGAAATATAAACATACTTTTAATTCCATAAGAATGTGCCTGGTTTGGTCAATGTATAACGTGGATCTCACTATTTGCTCTCTGTGAGAAGTCGAGGTAGTGTTCTTTCGTCGGAGAGGATATAGTTTGAAACTACAGTATCTTTAAGATGCAAGTTGGTGAAATAAATATCGTGGTTAAAGTTCTGATGCGTTGGGTTGAAAGAGGTGTTAAATAACCACTCGACCTACTAAGCGAGCCTGGTACCTAAGGCTGGAGTGAATGATGTCTCCGGCGTATCTAGAGCTGTGAACCAATAATACACTTTATTACCTGCAAGCAATGATTCACTCTTCGTCACTGTCAACAGCTGCGCAAAGATTCACCCGGTGTAATCAAGCGGCAGTTTGGGGTGGTGAGAGGGCAAACAGATTTTTCATTGCCACACATCTGCTTTGACCGGGTCCTATTCGTTAATTCTGACTCAATAGTGAATACATGAATAATTTTATACCTTTATCCCCAATTGACCATTTCCCCAAGACCATAGCGCCGAACGAATTGCCAAAATGCCACAATAGAACTTATTTGAAGAGCAAATATCAATGGCCAGGTTCAGAGCCCTCACCAACGAGATTCACACAGAGAACCGCAGCGCCTGCGGCTAAGCTTCCAAGAACGAGCATTTGAAGGCCTTCCCACAAGCTTCTCTTGACACTCCTCTCTTCACCACGGAGTATCCAGCTCTTGCTTGATCCAAATGTCATGAGCGCTATCAAGCATAAAGCAATGCTCCAGTGCAGACCTCTACCAACTGTTGAAGTGAAGAAGTATGGGAAGAGGGGGATGATACCGCCAACGACATACCCCAGCGAGATGGATAGACCCGAGGCGACGGGCCATATTGGTAGCTGATCCGACAACGGCTCTGTCGCAGCATTTTGTTGCTGCAGACGGCAGACTGTTCTTCCAACACCGTCAGGGCGACTTCTCAACATCACGAGAATTTCCAGGACTGTGGCAGGTGGTAGAGCCAGAGGCTCAAGATGGCTCCTTATAAGGTCCTCCTTTGATTCTTGGTCCAGATCCTTTTCGTCCAAATCGTCGCTAAGATGACTAGATGAGCCTCTTGAGCTTCCATCGCGCAACATCCCTCTCAACTCCTCCTCGTCACCGTTGCTATCGAGGGCGTCTTTGTTCCCGGTTGGATGAGGAACCTCATCCGATGCGGATAGATATCCGCCGATGCCCATACTGATGCTTCCGGCACACAGCTCGGCGAGGCCTGCGTAGATGACGGTATCAGCTCTTCCCAGTGAGCTGAGCCCTGCGGTGAGGGCAAATGGGACGGTCAGGCCATCGGAAAATCCGAGGGTGAAGTCGGAAAGAAAGCGAGTTAAGCAAGGGCTCTGTAACTTGGACATTATGGCAAGCTGGGGTAAAAGAATAGTGTACGATGGTGTTTTTCTATGCTCACATTCTTTGCCGAAAAAAGAAAATGACGTTGCGAGCTGGTCAATGTGCGTTGTAATGGACTGGTCGCGATGACAAAGGTGGTTAAAATATTACACCGGTCATGAACCGAGTTACAAATGTCGAGCTCAAGCTCAGGAAGAACAGGGAAGCGCAGTAACCAACGTTGAGGAGAATGCAACAAGTTTAAAAATGGTTCATGGCGAAATCAACCAACGGATGAACTCGAGTCCAAGAGATGGAGTAGTTGTTCAAATGAGGTGCACAGTGGAATTTGTCTTCGGTGTAATTGCATCTTTAACTGGCGAGTGACTTTGAACAACATGAGCTGTCTATAGGCCGGGGCAGGAGCAAAGGGCAATGTTCAACCAGCAAGTGCTCACTCCTGCCGTCCTGGATGGACGAGGCGCAACCCATTCAGTGGCAGGCCAGGAACGGAAAGTGGCTGCCGCTGCGATCCACCACCCTGATCGACTTCACCCCACATTATCATTCTATCCCGGCTGGGTATTGACACCTCCCACCAGAGTCCACGATGGTACATCGATTGCATGTACGGCCCTGCATCACTGAGCTACCAACCTCCACGTGCTCGCTAATCCCCTGCTAAGGAGGACGGAGTCCCCGTCCAGCACGGAGTACTCCGTATCGGCGAAGCGATCTCCTCTACAAGAATATCAGGCCGGCTTGCGAGCACTGTAACTACATCAACTGGGGTTTGCGCTTCTCGCCAAGCCATGGAGTAGACCGACCCAGAGAGCAAAAGCCACCCGCATCACAGTAATCCACTGATGTGAACAGGCTCCGATACGCTCAAAAAGTCACTAAAGACATGTCTTTTCCCCCTCTCGTGCGGATTGGTTCTCTGTGCTCGCACCCGATGCCTGCATAAACATGGGCCGGAGCCAAACAAGTACAAATTCGGTAGCGAATGGGCTCACCCACGTGCTCTGCTTAAGAACACCTGACCACTGATTCGACCACCACTTTCTCCTCGTCGGTGTTGCTTTGAGCCAGGTGGAGGAGGCCGGCAGGGACGAACTGACGGCGTGCTGGGCCCAGGATCTCTGTGGGGACCGCTGTTCTCCTGCGAGACCAGGGAATCCCTGGAGCCCCGATGATCCTTTGTCCAGCTCGTTTGTGTCTTGACGCAGATGCGGCTTACTCCGCGCGCCTGTGGCTCCGGGCCGGCTTGGCTAGGCTGGCAACTGGCTGTCTGGGCAGAACTCATTGGCAGTAGTACAGAGCACTCCGTATAACTTTGTTCGTACCACACCAAGCAAACATACGGAGCACGGAGTAGGTATCGAGAAACTATTGGTGTTTTCCATGTTACAATGCGTATCACCAAGCCTCACTGTCACCACAAGTTCGGGTCCAAAGTGGAAAAAAGAGTGAGCCAGCCCGAGGATAGTAGTAAGAAGAGTAACTGCGATGATCATCGCAGGGCTGGGCCGCTGGGCCGTCAGCACACGCAGAGGGCCAACGATAACTTTTTGCTGGCCGCAGTTCTGTTCCAAGTCTGGCAGGTACGTGTAGCAGGGTCATCTATTTCTGTACAATACAGTATTGTCACTTTCTAAACGTTCTCTTTCTCAAGGTTCTCAATGAATCTAGTACTTGGCCATGATTCGGATTCATCCTTGATACTACAGCCCTCACATCTTTCCACCACCCAGTGCATTTCATCTATAGTAAAGTAATCGATGTTCATAAAATTTTTTATTCGCTCTCGGGCTCATACCCCTTAGGGGGATGCAGACCATCAGGGGTCTCAATTGTGTCTTCGTAATAAGTAGGAGCCTTGCTATTCTTCCAGGTGTCCTTGACAGACTGGAGAATAGGACGGCCGTTGTACGCCTTGTCGAGATCGAGGTTGGGCTTAGGAAAGATCTTGTTTCCGCCCTGGTCGTTATACTGACCAGCATACGAGTAGTTCCAGTACATGCTCTGGAGTTGTTCCTGTGATCTCCACTGGCGGAGCTTGTCACCAGTCTTATCCGCAACCATCTCGAAGACATTGGCACCGACATCCCATCGGCCAAGGGTGGGAAGGTCCCAATTTGCAGAGACAGTGGCAATCTCGGAATAATGATTGTAGAAGTTCTTGTCCTCAGTGCCCACGAGCTCCTTGGGAACAGCGTCACCCAGAAGGATACCCAGAATGTTGTTACGGGCGGCATACGACTCGTTCTCGTCCCAGGTGACCAGGACAAGGGTGTTTTGCATGAAGTTCTTGTCCTCGAGAAGGGGCTCAAGGAACTTGCGGCACCAGACACCAGCGACGGTGACGGAGGTGTCGTGACCATCGGAGGTCATGTTGGGTGTGATGAACATCCACTGGGGGAGCTTGTTATCCTTGAGGTCCTTGTGAAACATGGAGCGCGAGGTATCAATAAGAGACAGGTTCTTGATTTGCGACAACTTTTGCTCAGAGTGGGTAATGCTGTCGTGTAGAACAGCAGGGTTGTGCTTGCGGACGTAGTCGTTGGCGCCGTTCTTCTGGTTGCGGTAGGCGTTGCCCTCGAAGCCAGAGAAAGGCATGTCTTCCTGATAGTGACCCCACGAAATGCCCTTGGTGTCGAGGAGATCAATCACTGTGGAGATATTGCGAGGCGAGCGGGTGAAGGCGTCGTTCTCCATACCAAAGTAATCACCGGCAATGGAGGCCATGTAGTTGGGCTCAGAAGGGTGAGTAACGGCGAAGTAGTTGGATAGAGTAATACCCTTCTTGGTGAACCAGTTAAAGTTGGCTGTACTAAATATTAGACCTGCCGTTCCAATATCGGAGATTCTTCCTCTGAGAGGTGCCCTGGGAAATCACTTACGGTCACCAAAGGATTTGTCATAGTTCTGGTTCTCAAAGTAAATAATGGCAAGTCTGTCAAAGGCCTTGCCCTTCACATGGCTTGTAGGGCTGCTGGTCTTTGCCGTAGCAGCAGCCTTTGCAACATCGGCCGTGCCAGTAGCGGTATACCTGGTCTCCCAGCCGTCTTGAGACTTGCAGGGAGTAGCAGAGACGACGCTGGCGACAGCCAGGAAGCTTGCAGCAATTTGAAGCAACATGTCTGCTTCTTCAGTCTTTCGAACCTGAAGCACTTGGCTTGACAAACAATGAAGCAGGTAGCTGCCAGTTTACTCCGTAAAGGTCGATCGACATTCCAGGGCGGAGCGTTTACTTAAAGGAACTGGTTCTCACTCCAGCTGAGCGCAACGGTATGCTCCGATAAGGCACACAGTCACCCAATCTTCTTCGAGCGGGTACTGCTCCGTCGAATATGCATGGCCACACGGAGTACGGAGTCGAGCATTCTACATAATTCGTAGTTGCTGACTTGAACACTTTTAGTCTGGTGACGCCGGGCATGGCGGCAGGGTTGCTGGCCCACCTTGCTGAGTATGGTAGGTCCTAATGAAGTATGTACGAAGTAAGACTACGCCATTGCCGCACGGAGGAAGACTGCGAATGTACTCTGTGAGCACACAGCTTGGCACTCTATCCGTAGAGACCAATGTCGTCCAAATGCAGATCAATCGACCCTACGGGTACTGTGTAACGTCAGTAATATTACGTTCTCAACTGAACCCTCCCTGAGTACCGTCCGTACAACGCAGTACCTGGAATTTGTTTCCGAATCTGGATACCTAGGCGCGGTACCCCAGAATCCGGTTATTCATGCATCTCGGTCCACATCTCGGCCCCTCGTCGGCGGTGATTAGCATCTTGACTTTCCTGGAGCTACCAGAGTGTCTCGCAACATTGTACTAGTTCAAGAGTGACTAGGCCAAACAAGAGAGACATGCTGAGGCCACAAGAACTGATACCGAGCTTCTCAAGAAAGCCAAGTTGAGAAGCTGGTGACAGAATGGGACGACATCGGCACCTCAAGGCTGGCCATTTGTCGGGGTTCCAGTTCTCCGTACGTGGGGCCGAATTTTAACATGGAGCATCGTGGTCAAGGTTCACGGTTTTCCTGTAGCGGGAAGAGGGGAGTACTGCCCTTCCTCACATATCTTTGTTCCTTTGGCAACTTAAAGTTTAGCCGGGGAGAAGGACAATGCCGAAGCGTGCGGCCCTTGACGAGGTAGAGAGTGTGGCCACCAAGTTTTTGCGATGGTCACTCTATCGAGCAGGGGTTCCATGCACTGTCGCGTGCCGATTCATCCGTCTAAGACGGCCAATCGTCCATCGAATTGAGCACGTTGACGGACCATTTTATCTTGGTGACCTCTCCATCCAGCTCCAGTCCCCAGCTTGGTGGGGGTCTCAAGATTGGTGTTGATGCTACCCAATTGCATCTGACAGCTCCATCACGCGCGTCTTGCAACAACTTCCCTTGAGAATTCTTCTCGGTCGTCGGCCGTGGAATACAGCTGGGTACTTTCCATGCGACTACGGTTAACCAAGGTTATTAGTCCCGGCCGTACGGAGTACCTTGGCCGCCATCTTCTCGAACGAGGCCCTGGCTGTGGAATAAGCCGATTTATCGCTTACTGCATTGGTCGCCGGCGTCAACTGCAATATCGCTTGTGGTTCTGCAGCGCAGGTCCGCAGTTCGTCGTGGACCAGCGCGAGGTAGCTATGCGACTTGACCGCTGTCTGCCGTGATACAAAGTGAGAAACAATATTGGGAGGTGATTCACTGGTCTCTTGCAGTCTGGTGCTGGTGCGGTTCGTCCGACAGAATGTCCACGGGAGAAGATGTAGAGGCTCTTGAACAGACAGAGGAGCAGCCGTTTCTTGGGCAAGAGGCAGCGGGAGACAAGGAGGAAATTGAGGCAGGTGCGAGTTCACCCTTCTGGCTCGGAAACAGCCGAGCCTCACGGCTGCACGGATTTTGCAAATTAAGCCTCTTCATTTTCTTCCTCACCATCATCTTGGGATTAGTATCTGGAATTATACTGAGCTTCCCACCTAGGGGCACAAGAGACTCTCTTGATACTCGTCCCCACGACGACCAAGAAAAGGACCATCAAGACAAAGACCACACCGATGACTGGAAGCATGAAGACATTTCCGGCACGCCACGTCTGCGAGACACATCTGAATATGTGCTTTCGCCATCGTGGGATCGCAGTGCCGCTCCGGTCACGCGGGAATATCACTGGACAATATCAGATGCTGAATTGAATCCAGATGGAGTCTATCGATCTATGATTCTGGTCAATAATCAATATCCTGGTCCCTTGATAGAATGCAACGAATTCGATACCATCGTTGTCAACGTGGAAAATAAGGCGTCAAATTCTACATCAATTCACTTTCACGGACTCTTCCAGAATGGAACCAACTGGATGGATGGCACTGTCGGTGTCACGCAATGTCCCATTGCCCCCAACACAAACTTTACATACAAGTTTGTTGTCCGTGGACAATCCGGCACATATTGGTATCATGCCCACCATAGTGCTCAGGCATCGGATGGCTTGTTGGGCCCTGTCGTCATTCATTCACGGGATGAGCTTACACTGCAAGAGGTCGATTACGCGACGGACAGAGTCATCATGGTCCAGGATCATTACCACAACACAACGGCTGAGTTGTTAATGGATTATCTACAACCAGACAAGGAAAATGATGAGCCTGTCCCAGATAACGCGCTCATCAACGGTCGTGGCGTGCGAAATTGTGACGACTTTGACGGGTGGCATTGCGACAGCAGCAACACGTCTGAGCCGGTATTTGACCTGACTGCAGGCCAACGGCATCGTCTGCGATTCATCAACGTGGGAGCCTTTGCCGAATTCCAAATTCAGATTGACGAGCACCCATTTTATATCACAGAGGTTGATGGGACAGATGTTCATCCTTTAGCCTTCCATCGCCTCAACATATCACCTGGTCAACGCTACAGTGTCATCGTCGAAACCAACGTCACGACTGCTGATGCATATTGGCTGCGAGCCAGAATGGTCACGCACTGCTTCACTACCAAAAATGATCGATTACAGCCCGAAATCAGAGGCATATTGCGGTACATCTCATCGAGCTCAAAGCCCCTTACAGCCGATCCCGAAAGCAAGGACTGGTCGGAGACCGTCGAAACCATCTGTCGTGACCTCAACACATCAGCTCTACATCCAGTCCAGCACATCAGCCCTCCTCCTGCTGACGACTTTGTCGCCCTCAGAGCCAACTTCATGATTGGAGCCTGGCGTCTAGCTCGAGGTTTCTTTAACGAATCCACTTGGCATGCAAACGCCACCCACCCTTCTCTCCATCGATTTCTCGATGCCAAGCCGGAAGTGACCAGCCTCGAGGCACCATTAGCCATCAATGAGAAAGCATTCAACAAGGACAACGACTTTGTCCTTCAGACCAAGGGCATACGCACAGTCGACATCTCCATCAACAACTTTGACGACGGTGCACACCCTTTCCATCTCCACGGCCACAAGTTTTTCATCATTGCTCAAGCTAGGAGCGGATATCCCCCTACATCAGCGACGCTGGACAAATACCTCCAACAACACGGTGGCATGCCAGAGAACCCCCTTCGCCGGGACACTGTCACCGTGGAAGCCTACTCCTGGGTCATAATCCGCGTTGTCCTCGACAACCCTGGCATTTGGGCGCTTCACTGCCACAATACGTGGCACTCCGAATCGGGCATGGTGATGCAGTTACTTGTACAAAGCGAAGTAGTAAGTGAATGGAAAGTTGACCCCCAGCATAGAGCAATGTGTGAATTTGAAGGCGTCATGTCTGGTATGAGGCCAGATGATAGCATTTGGTTTGGCAGCTTTTAGGCTTTTTGCTGCATATTGCTTAAGCGGTGGTTATTGTTTGTGCTGCACTGATTTTGGACACCAAAGGTGGGACGGAGTTTATATCATCAAAAATGGTTAAGGATGTGTATTTATAGATATTCATGGCAGAAAATTCGGCGTTGGGTTCGAATATGGGTTAAACAGTTACCTTTCTAGACAATACAGAGTACAAAGTGCCTGCTTCTCCAGGGTGCTGTTCAATCTCATCAAGGTCACGTCCTTTAGTTTTGTCGTATCCATCATGTTCACAAAAAGCTGAAAATTAAAATGTACGTCGAGTGACCCCGATACTGATCAAGTATTCTATCTATTCTCTAAGTCTCCATCAGCCAAATGTTTGGCATTAATAATTCTTCTATCCATATCGTACCTTTCCTTTATTTAGTTGAGCCTCAAAGTAAACAACACACCCGAATTCCCATTTGTTACAAAATGAAATTTTCTCTTTTGAAGGCGAGACATCCCATCTCCAGTCCCCATTTCCTGTGCACCGACAGTATGAGGTTGTAATAATACAACAGCGGACGTAGTAAACCAACAAGGCAATGGTTACTCGAAACGCCGGGGCTTGTGAAATATGCTGACGAAGTAGAAGTTGCGGTACTAAAAGAAATACAGGATTGATCAAGATGACGCAAGCGCAGTTTCGCTTTCGAGCCCAACGCCGTGAATAAACATGGGAAACACTTTTTATAAACCTTCGCAATGCTTTCCAGATGCTGTGTAAAATCAAAAAGAACAGATGAAAGAAACGCCGAGAGGAATGCTTGTATGCTGAATTATATGGTATGTGTGGCGAATGTATTCATTACCAACTCTCCTCTATGCCTTAACCGGTTCTCCGTGCAACGTTGACCCCGGGGTTGACAAAGGCTCGGGACGCAATATCACTGAATCGACGCACCACATTAGTAGTGCCACCAGTAACTTGTGCTTCGTCCAAGATGAATTTCGATGCGACTGCAAGTCGATTCTTTGGATCAGTCTCATCGGCGTATTGGGGGGTATTTCCATAGCTGGGACCGTAATACGGTGCAAGTTCGCGAACGACGGCTATAGAATAAAGCACATCACGATTTTCTCTCCCATCCAACAAGTGCCTCATTCTACTCAGTGCGTCCTCTCTGGCCTTGAGGGCCTGATGCGAACCAGGCAAGTCTTGCTTTCGAACAAACTCCGCCAGACTATACCAAAAGTCGAACTGACGAGTACGTTGGGTATCTGGGTCTTGCAGCGGTGGTGCGAGAGGGTTGGTGACTAGATATTCACCGCAAAGCAAGGCTTCAACCACGCGC